TGTAGATATTGCTAACGCATCATCAACAGTTCTCATGTTAACGTACAAGGGTGAAGGTGTTGTAAACTCTCTGATAAATAATCTTCCGATAGAACTCCACGTACCTTCGTATCAGTTCCTGGGACGTAAGTGTGCGACAGATTAGGATATTTTTTTTTCATTCTCACACATGTATATGTATATTTTCAGCGGGGACTAAATTAAAGAAGAGGTTAGCACGAGGAGATCCTGGAAAGAACCCATTGGATCGTGCTGCAAGAGACCACGATATTGCATACGCCTTATACAAAAATTTGAAAGACAGGCACAAAGCTGATTGGATTCTTGAGAACCGAGCCTGGGAACGTGTAAAAGCACCTGACGCTTCACTAGGAGAAAAGACTGCAGCTTGGCTAACAACTACCGCAATGAAAGTTAAGCGAAAATTGGGTATGGGGCAGAAGAAATCATCTTTTCGACGAGGTGTTCTCACGAAAATCACAAAGTCCTTGAAGAAAAATGCTCCCACCACCACGACATTAAAAAAGTCTGCATTGGTTGCTCTTAAAGCGGCAAGATTAGCGGTGAAGAGTGCAGGTGGAAAACATAAAGTTCGACTACCGAGAATAATTCCGATCGAAGGAAAATCTGGGGGATTCCTACCCTTGATCCCCCTTTTCGCCGGATTAAGTGCCTTGGGGGCGCTCGTAGGGGGAGCTGCAGGTGTGGCCAAAACGGTCGTTGATGCCAAGAATGCACAAAAGAAATTGGAGGAAGACCATCGCCATAACAAAGCTATGGAGTCTTTGGGCAAAGGATTGTATTTGAGAAAAAATGCTAAAGGTGGTTATGGGTTGTACCTCAAAAAAAAAACTCAAAAAAACTAAACATCAAGCTACCCAAGAAAGCGCTTTATGATTATGAAATAAAGCAATATGCGAAGCTCTTGAACATACCTCATTTCCGAGGTGTCTTCATGCGTGACACTTTACCACGAGACGGTCCACGTAAAAGAGAATGCGCCGTCGTGAACTTAGATATTTCACAAAACAACGGAACTCATTGGGTAGCTTATAAAAAGATAAACAACAACGTTGAGTATTTCGATTCATTTGGTAACCTGAAGCCTCCACAGGAACTTGTTCGATATCTGAAAAACGCTAAAATTTTCTACAACAACGATCCTTACCAAACTTATAATCAAGTTAATTGCGGACAATTGTGTTTGAAATTTCTAAACAATAACAACAACAACAACGATGGATAATAAAACATTATCGGAATTTACATTAGAAGAGTTTGAGAAGAATATTCCGCCGCTGGAATATTTAATAAGCAATGTGAGACCTGCAGAATTATTGAGTATATGGCACAAACTGCCTGCAGAATACACATCCAATTTTGATCTTCAAATACGACTTCCATGCTATGTTCACTACAACAGACCTGATTGGACAACACATTGGGATGGACCGGCTACTGCTCAAGCAAATTGTTATTTCTGTAAATTATCCATTCGAAAATAAACAAAAAAAAAAAACTTGAATAAATGCTTAGTACACAGCTATATTTTTTCATTCATCATGTCGCAGTTGTTGAGAGTCAATAGCACTACTCATATATTTTCATTTCGTCCTTCAACACCGATAGTGTTGGATCCGAAAAAAGATTATGAATTGGCGCTTAGGTCTTTTACTTCATACAATTCCATACCGAATATTGAAAAAGGAGATAAATTTTATTATATCGACCGGATAGGTGGTGGTGGTCAATTAAAAGTCATCGAGTTTCCGACAGGTTGTTATGAAATTACCGACATAGAAACATTTATACGAACGCAAATGAATCTTGAAAATGAAGTTGCTCCTCCGGATGATTATTTTTCTCTAAAACCTAACAATAATACACTGCAATGTGAAATCTTTAGCAAGTATTATAAAATAGTTTTTACAGAACCGAATAATCTTGGACATCTATTGGGATTCTCGAAAAAAGTTCTTAATCCTGGTCAAAAGCATTCTTCTGATTTACCTGTAAACATAATAAAAGTATCAACCATACACTTTGATGCTAACATTACGTCGGGAGCCTTTGACGGAGACACGCCTGCACACACGATCTACGAATTTGCTGTGACAGCCGATCCTGGATACGCTATAGTCGAAACACCTGTAAATTTACTATATCTACCTGTTATACCGAAACAAGAAATAACCAACATCACAGTGTTGGCTTTAGATCAAGACGGTCGTCCTGTAAACTTTCAAGGTGAAACTAGTACTCTTGTGTTGGAGTTGAGAGCGAAGCGCAGATGGGATTAGTGATTATAAGACATAGTGGTGCTTCCAAGGCAACTTCAGTATTACCCCAAGCACCTAAGCGACGACATCTACTACTAACTACATCAAATATCCTGTTTCTACGCTCACTTGGATATCATGTCAACAACAACAAGAATCATGTACAAAAAGAGAAAAACTGAGGAGGCAGCAGCAGCAGCATCACATACTTCTCCGATGTTTGATCTATATCGATCTCCAGCATTCGATGAATCTATTCGCAAGGCTGAGTATAGATCTTATACGCCGTTCATCAAGTCATTTAATTGTAATGATGTTGTGGAATTTAGCATCAATCAAGTAGATTCGTTCTTTGCAATGAACGCTTCCCTTCTATCTATCAAAGGAAAAGTTGAAATAACTGGAGGAGGAGGAGCAGGAGATGTATCTTTAGCTCCAAACTTTGGTGCCTTCCTATTTGACTCTTGCACTTACAGTGAATCCGCTAGAGAAGTTGAAACAGTACGTGATCCTGGTATTGTAAGTACTGTCCGAGCTTACGTATGTTACAGTGAGGAAGACTCAAATCATATGGCTATAGCTGGATGGAACTATCCTTCAACACCTATAATGGCGTCAACACATAACAAGTCTTTTAGCTTGCTAATGCCGCTTAAACATATTTTCAACATTTTCAATGATTATCCTATGATTACGTGTGGCAGACAAACTCTCAGATTTGTGAGAGCTAGAAACGATAACGATTGTATCATTATCAAGGAAAAAACTGGAACGACGACGACAGCGAAAATAACTATTGAAAGCATGGAACTGAAAATCAAACATATTTACCCGAGTGATGATGTGAAAGAACAACTTTTGAAAGCTATTCAAACTGATAAGCCGATACTTATACCGTTTAGAAAATGGGATCTGAATGAACTGCCTGCAATTACCGCAGATGCGAGAAGAGAAATATGGTCAGTTAAAACTAGCACCGCAATCGAAAGACCACGTTTCATTATAGTATGTTTCCAAACCGGTAAACGTGACGTCGCAACCTCAGACCCTACCCTGTTTGATCACGTGAATGCTGCTAGTATTCGAGTATCTTTAAATGGTGAATACTATCCCAACGAACGTATGCAATTGGACTTTGCAAACAATCACTTTACTGAAGCTCATTTCAACTATAGCGACTTTCAAACCAGCTATACAACTTCTTCTTCTCCTCTGAAGAGATGTCTTTTAGATTATACCGCTTTTAAAAATCGCGCTTTGTTTGTTATTGACTGTTCCAAACAAGAGGAAACCATGAAATCATCAACTGTTGATGTTAGATTGGATATCGAAGCCGATACTGGCTTTCCAACCAACACCAAGGCCTACTGCATCATTATACATGACTGCTTAATCGAGTACTTCCCCCTCACCGAAGTTATTAAAACCATCTCGTAAGCAACGAAGGACTCTCAGTTCCGCATCAGACATCATGAGGATCGCGTTTGTTGACATTCAAGGCTTTACAGTTGACGGATTATTCGTACCTAAAGAACTATGTATCGAAATTGGTTTCAAGAAAAGTCATTACATCTTTACACCTCCGCAACCTTTTTCTACATTAAATACTAAAGACAAGAAAACTGTCGCTTACTTGGAGAAGAATTTCCATGGGCTTAAATATTCTTCCGGCGACGTTAAATATTCCAAGTTAAATGAAATAATTAAAAATAAGGTGATATATGCGGCTGACTATGTCTACGTTCGTGGAGAACAGAAAGCAAACTTTTTACTCAAGAAATGTCACATTTTTGGTGTTTTTCCCAACATTATTGATGTTTGCAAGTATGATGGTACACCGTGTGCTACTGGAAACTTTGTTGCTGATTCCAATCCATGCCACACCAACGGACAATTTTCCTGTACCCAGAGAAATGTTGAACGTCTACGCCACTGGTTTTCAAATATCATATTACCTATGTAGTTTTTTTCTATTTTCAATAAAATATTAAACGTATTATTGTAGTTTTATTGAAAATACCTCTGGTTTGCGAAATAATTGTCAGAATGTCTATACTATTTTCATTTTGAACGGTATCATCCTGTATAATAATAACAGTACATCGTATACAGGTTATGAGACATTCTGACCGACCGACCGACCGACCAGAGGAGCCCACCACGCTATTTAGGTCACGCCTTGCTATATACGATTTAACGATATACCGTCGGTCCATCGATCCGCTATTTTTCGATGCACCCCTGTATACACGTTGCCCCCCGTAATCCACGCCAACACCAGACAGGTGCGACATCGGCGCCATCTATGCGCGAGATGCCCAACCCATCAATGGCAGCTGTCCAATGACGCATAGATTCCGTTAGGTTTGTACACCGCCAAACAAATCTACGCCATTTATGCGCGAGATGCTCAACCCATCAATGACAGGTGTCCAATGACGTATGACAGATGACGTGTAACGCCATCTATGCGTGAGATGCCCAATGACGCATGACAGGTGTCCAATGACACACAGATTCCGTTTGGTTTGACAGCGCCATCTAGCGGCGGAATCCCCAACTCATGAATACAGATTCCGTCCAACAACCTGTCAATGGCGCGCGACGCCAGCGCCTCTGGTGGCGGATTTTGGAAGTTTTGAGACCGAATCCCCATAGACCATCTACTAATCTTGGCTTGCAACAGACTGTGTAGAGGGTGACGGTTCGGCAGTATATGGACTAGTCATTGGTGTTGTTACTCTTGAAATTGTTTGTGGCTGTGGCTGACTGTAATAATCATGATTTTGCCAATTATTGTAATAAGTGGCAATTGTACGCGATGGCATTTGAATATTATCGGCCAACCTTCGCTTCTTTGCTCTCATATTTTGCAATAAACTTAACACACTCGACTGAAATTCCAAAGTTTCATCTTCATCAAACGATGATAATGATGGAAGAAGACTTTTGAAGAATGTAAGATGACGATTTTCATCCTCTTTGACTGTTGAAACCTTGGATAAGTTGATTTGATGGTCTATGAATCGCATCATTTTGGCATCAACTTCATTAATACTCCTCTTTCTGCGTGCAGTAGAAGTACTGATGGGAGTACTACCAGACTGATTTGCTTCCATATTCGGTTGTTCAGGTGGAACACTCTCTTCAATAACTTCTGCATCCAAGTCTTCTATCTCGGTGTTATTTTCATTATTAGTGTTTTCATGACAAACAGTTGAATCTGTAATTTTTTTCAGGAATGACATCTGCTCATTATATATATAAAGTCTTGAAGGTTTGGTCGATGTGCCACTTGTTTTTTGGTCTTTATGTTTTTTCAATGCTTTCATCCACGAGTCTCGAATGTATGTCCACTTTTTTAAAATCAGCTTACCTGGAACAAATAAAATAAAACGTTCCTTCCTTTCAGGTATCTAGCATCTGGGTGTTCGTATAAAGATCTGCATTACTCCTACCGAGTTGGTGTCTCAACAATTAGCAATATTGTGAGAGAAGTTACTCGGAGTATATGGAATAATATGGGTACTAAATTTATGGCATGCCCTGATACGCCAGATAAATGGGAGGAAATAGCGAATGGATTCTGGATGAAAACGAATTTCCCGCATTGCCTCGGTGCGGTAGACGGGAAACATATAAGACTGAGAAAACCCGATAACACTGGCTCTATGTACTTCAACTACAAAGATTACTTCTCTATTGTTTTATTAGCAGTCGTAGATTCAGAATATCGTTTTATATACGTGAATATAGGGTCCTATGGAAAAGATTGTGATTCGTCAATCTGGAAAGAATCTACATTGTGGAAAAAGTTGACACAGGGCGCTTTAAACATACCAACACCCAGACCTTTAGAACAGACACAAATAAATGTACCCTTTGTGTTTATTGGCGATGAAGGTTTCGGATTGCATGACAATTTATTAAGGCCTTTTGGCGGTACACATTTAGACAAGAAAAAGCGAATATTTAATTACCGACTTACTCGCGCTAGAAGATATGTGAATGTGCATTTGGCATCTTAGCTAATAGATGGAGGATATTTCATCGTCCTCTAGATGTTAAACTAGAAACAGCAATATGGATAGTAAAAGCGTGTACTGTGTTACATAATTTTGTCCGAGAAAAAGACGGGTTTAATTTTGAAAACGCTCATTTGCCAGAAATCCACCTTGACAACTTACCAAAAGCACAAAATATACGAGGAGGACTATCTGCCAATTCCATAAGAACAACTTTTGCTGACTATTTTCTAACAGAAGCTGGTTCTGTTTCTTGGCAAGATGAAGCCATCGGTTAGTAAATTTATGTATGTCAAAATAAACAATAAAATACTTACCAAAAGCCTGCCTCTCCTTTTGTTCCATATCTTCGAAATTCTCCTTTAACAGAGAACATATCTCTCTCCATGCTGACGACTTTAAATTTTTGTCTTTATATGTGTCAAGTGTTTTATCCCATAAAGCGGGTCTCGCTTCCACTAAACTTATCAACAGCTCCGTATTTATTTTCTCCATTGTATATATGTAGGTATATACCATAAATATGAGCAAACTATTTAAAGCCGAAAACAAGTGCCGTTCGGCAAGATAATCGAATCGCGACTGGAGGTGAAATGGCCAATATACATTGTACGTGCCACTGAAGGCCGATTCGGTTTTTTTCCCGAACACAACCGCATGCGACCATACGGTTGCCAGTGGCGCGAACCGAATGCAAGTCCGAACGAATCGGCAGTTTTCCCGTATATGGGGTACGACCGCATCGTGTGAATATGCAGATTTAAAATATTGCGCCACTGCGAGATTCGATACTTTTACCGGTTCGATTAAATGATCGTGACCGAGTCGTCTGAACGAGCTGTTCGCGCCACTGGCAACCGTATGGTCGCATGCGGTTGTGTTCGGGAAAAAAACCGAATCGGCCTTCAGTGGCACGTACAATGTATATTGGCCATTTCACCTCCAGTCGCGATTCGATTATCTTGCCGAACGGCACTTGTTTTCGGCTTTAAATAGTTTGCTCATATTTATGGTATATACCTACATATATACAATGGAGAAAATAAATACGGAGCTGTTGATAAGTTTAGTGGAAGCGAGACCCGCTTTATGGGATAAAACACTTGACACATATAAAGACAAAAATTTAAAGTCGTCAGCATGGAGAGAGATATGTTCTCTGTTAAAGGAGAATTTCGAAGATATGGAACAAAAGGAGAGGCAGGCTTTTGGTAAGTATTTTATTGTTTATTTTGACATACATAAATTTACTAACCGATGGCTTCATCTTGCCAAGAAACAGAACCAGCTTCTGTTAGAAAATAGTCAGCAAAAGTTGTTCTTATGGAATTGGCAGATAGTCCTCCTCGTATATTTTGTGCTTTTGGTAAGTTGTCAAGGTGGATTTCTGGCAAATGAGCGTTTTCAAAATTAAACCCGTCTTTTTCTCGGACAAAATTATGTAACACAGTACACGCTTTTACTATCCATATTGCTGTTTCTAGTTTAACATCTAGAGGACGATGAAATATCCTCCATCTATTAGCTAAGATGCCAAATGCACATTCAACATATCTTCTAGCGCGCGTAAGTCGGTAATTAAATATTCGCTTTTTCTTGTCTAAATGTGTACCGCCAAAAGGCCTTAATAAATTGTCATGCAATCCGAAACCTTCATCGCCAATAAACACAAAGGGTACATTTATTTGTGTCTGTTCTAAAGGTCTGGGTGTTGGTATGTTTTAAAGCGCCCTGTGTCAACTTTTTCCACAATGTAGATTCTTTCCAGATTGACGAATCACAATCTTTTCCATAGGACCCTATATTCACGTATATAAAACGATATTCTGAATCTACGACTGCTAATAAAACAATAGAGAAGTAATCTTTGTAGTTGAAGTACATAGAGCCAGTGTTATCGGGTTTTCTCAGTCTTATATGTTTCCCGTCTACCGCACCGAGGCAATGCGGGAAATTCGTTTTCATCCAGAATCCATTCGCTATTTCCTCCCATTTATCTGGCGTATCAGGGCATGCCATAAATTTAGTACCCATATTATTCCATATACTCCGAGTAACTTCTCTCACAATATTGCTAATTGTTGAGACACCAACTCGGTAGGAGTAATGCAGATCTTTATACGAACACCCAGATGCTAGATACCTGAAAGGAAGGAACGTTTTATTTTATTTGTTCCAGGTAAGCTGATTTTAAAAAAGTGGACATACATTCGAGACTCGTGGATGAAAGCATTGAAAAAACATAAAGACCAAAAAACAAGTGGCACATCGACCAAACCTTCAAGACTTTATATATATAATGAGCAGATGTCATTCCTGAAAAAAATTACAGATTCAACTGTTTGTCATGAAAACACTAATAATGAAAAATAACACCGAGATAGAAGACTTGGATGCAGAAGTTATTGAAGAGAGTGTTCCACCTGAACAACCGAATATGGAAGCAAATCAGTCTGGTAGTACTCCCATCAGTACTTCTACTGCACGCAGAAAAGAGGAGTATTAATGAAGTTGATGCCAAAATGATGCGATTCATAGACCATCAAATCAACTTATCCAAGGTTTCAACAGTCAAAGAGGATGAAATCGTCATCTTACATTCTTCAAAGTCTTCTTCCATCATTATCATCGTTTGATGAAGATGAAACTTGGAATTTCAGTCGAGTGTGTTAAGTTTATTGCAAAATATGAGAGCAAAGAAGCGAAGGTTGGCCGATAATATTCAAATGCCATCGCGTACAATTGCCACTTATTACAATAATTGGCAAAATCATGATTATTACAGTCAGCCACAGCCACAAACAATTTCAAGAGTAACAACACCAATGACTAGTCCATATACTGCCGAACCGTCACCCTCTACACAGTCTGTTGCAAGCCAAGATTCTATTTTAGATCTAGATATTTCCAATTTTTGATTTGTTTATTTGTATATAAAATAAAGTTTTTAAAAAATGACACCTACCTTAAGCATATCACCAATTTTTCCTCAGCACTGATACATGTTCTCATATTTGTGTCTTCTCGAGTTAAGTCTTTTTTCACTCTATTAAGTAGGTCATCAAACGTAGAGGAAGACATCCGAAAATAATTGAAAAATTTAATTTCATCTCTTCTTATTTGACACATAAGTGTCCGGAAGGACCCCCAAATTAAATCTTTCTCTAATAATAGGGTGTTCCCAATATCTCCTTATTACTCGTTTTTTACAGAGTCTACGATACCAATACATTAAAACCAACATA